TTTTAAGGATCACACATGTAAATGTGTTAAGTCATTATTTTGATTAGCCAAAATTAGACTGATCTAATTAAAGTAAAGTTATTTAGCTAAGGGACATAATTATTATTATAAAAATTAATTATGTGGATATCATCAATCATATTTCTAACTTAATGACGAGATAAGTTAGGAATATAAAACTCTTGTGGCATAATTATAGATTCATCAATTATGAATATAATCATAATTGTAGATTCATCAATTATGATTATAAATAAGGTTATAGTCCTCGGCTGCAGTATCGAAAAAAGTTTCTCTTCACCCGTCAAGGAGAAATATAAAGTTCTTAAGGATACTTTGCAATTGGAAGACCAAATTATTGATTAATTCAAAAAATATTCTAATGGATTTATCAGATACGCTTCCATGTTAATATGTTTATTAATTATTGTAGGATTTAATGCATATTACAATGGATTTAATAAGTTTTATGAAATATTCTAAAATCTTATTTTGGATTTATAAAGCATGTTTTTGAACCAAAATTCGGTTTTGATTCTATAAAATAATTATTTTATCCATATTTGATATATTAAAAGAACCAACAATTGATATCAGAGCTTTCCTACAATGATTGCTGAACATCTAAGCTTATTTTTATGATGTTTTCATCAATATTTTGGAGTGATTTGGTTCTATCATCGTTGGGAAAGATGACAGTTTTATGTAATCATACTATATTGAATTGATTTGGTTCTATCATCGTTGGGAAAGATGATAGCTTTATGTAATCATATTATTTTGAAGTGATTTGGTTCTATGGAAAGATGATGATCCTCTGGAATTTATATAATTAATTAAATTTATATGAATTTAATTAATTAGATATTATTATAATATTATGTTGGTTTAATTATATTATTACAATATATAAATTTAATTAATAATATTATTATTGTAATATTATATTGGTTTAAACATAATATTGGTTCTATAAAGTTATTTGTTGACATAAATTGAATGGTTTACGTGCATTAAATATTTTAGTCAATAAATTAAGAACAAGCCAATTTGACTAATATGGTTCAAATTCAAAGCCATCTCTTCATAAATTTCTTCGTAAACACACAATGATCATATATGGTTCTATCATATCCTTGGCTCATCATGAAGGATTAAACTTCTTGTACCACTGTCCAGGTGCCTGTTTGAGTCCATATAAGCTTTTTCTAAGCTTATATACTAGATTTTCTTTTTTCTTGACTTTGAAACCTTCTGGTTACTCCGTATAAATTTCTTCTTCTAAGTCACCATGAGGAAATGTTGTTTTCACATCAAGTTGCTCAACTTCTAAATTCAAGCGGGTAGCTAAACCAAGAACAACTCGGATAGAGGATATTTTCACAACTTAAGAAAATATTTCTTCAAAGTCCATACTTTTCTTCTGATTGAATTCTTTCACAACTAGTCGTGCCTTGTATCTTTGTTGTGAGCTATTATTTTCAGGCTTTAACTTATAAACCAACTTATTTTTGAGAGCTTTCTTCTCTTTAGGCAACTTTACCAAGTCATAGGTGTGGTTCTTAAGCAAGGATCTCATCTCTTCTTGCATGGCTTTAACCTACTTATTCTTATGCTCATGTAAAATAACTTCTTGGTAAGTTTCTGGCTCTCCCCCGTCAGTAAGCATAACATACTCATATGGAGAATATCTGGTAGATGGTTGTCGCTCTCTAGTGGATCTTCTCAATGGAATCTCAACTGGTGGTGGAGGTGCTTGTTCAGTTGGTTCAGCATCATCAACTGTAGGAGTATCATCACTTACATTCTCACCACAATCTTCTTAATTTATCTCCCTCATAATCATCATGAACTACAAATGAAGGAATATAAACTGAGGTTTCTGGTTTCTCAACATTATCACCATCATCAAACAATTGGTCTTCAAGAAACACAATATCTCTGCTTCTAATAATCTTCTTGTTCACTGGATCCCATAATCTATACCTAAACTCTTCATGACCATATCCCAAGAAGATACATGCTTTTGCCTTATTATTAAGCTTGGACCTCTCATATTTGGAAAATATGAACAAATGTTTTACACCCAAAGACTCTCAAGTGATTATAAACTATATCTTTTCCTCTCCATACTCTCTTTGGAACATCACCTTTCAGAGGAACTGATGGGGAAAGATTTATCAAGTCAATTGTAGTTCTCACAGCCTCCCTCTAAAATGACTTCGGTAAGTTGGCGTGAGAAAGCATACACCTAATCCTTCCTTCAATGGTTCTATTCATCCTTTCTGTCACACCATTCTGCTGAGGAGTTTTAGGAATTGTTTTCTCAAGTCTGATACCATGGAACCCGCAAAAATACTCAAAAGGACCCCTGTACTCGCCACCATTATCTGATCGAACACACTTAAGTTTTCTACCAGTTTCTCTTACAACACTAACATGAAACTCCTTGAAAACATCGAGTACCTGGTCTTTAGATTTCAAAACAAAAGCCCACACTTTTCTAAAATAGTTATCAATAAAAGTAACAAAATAAAGAGCACCTCCAAGAGTTCTAGTTTGCATAGTACAGACATCAGTATGAACTAAATCAATAACATCTGATCTTCTAGATGATAGATATGTATGAAATGTAACTCTATGTGTTTTTCTAATTAAACAATGATCACAAGATTTAAGAGATGTACCTTGCAACTCTGGTAAGAACTGCTTTCTAGCAAGAGTTTGAAGTCTCTTCTCATTAATATGATCAAGCCTCTTGTGCCAAAGATCTATACTTTCACCTTTTTGAATTGTATTAATCTTTCCTTTGTGTAGCTTAGCTTCCATGATATAAAAAGAGTTAAGCTTTTTTCCTCTTGCCACAGTTAAAGAATCTTTAGTGAGTTTCCATTTGCTTTCACCAAAATAATGTGCAAAGCCCTCACTATCAAGTCTGCCTGTAGATATCAAGTTAAGACGAATATATGGAATATGCCTTATATCTTTGAGTATCAATTTGCTCCCAATACTAGTCTCGAAGCAAATATCTCAAATACCCACAATCTTAGATGTACCACTGTTTCCCATTATGACATTACCAAAATTACCAGTAGTGTAAGACCTGAAGAAATCACCATGAGAAGTAACATGAAATGAAGCACCAGAGTCAATTACCCAATTACTGTCCTGAGCTACAAGATTGACATAACCGTCATCACAAACAATAGTGATATTGCTTTCAACAGCAACTGTATTAGTCTCTTTCTCATTTTTCTTCGTTTCATTCTGTTCTCGCTGTCAAAACCTACACTCTTTCTTCATATGACCTGGTTTGTTACAGTGGAAACATTTGATATATTCTAGACTTAGATCTTCCTCTATAACTATGTAGATTTCTACTATGACTTCTTCCACGTCTTTCTTATTTTTCAGTAATAAATGCCCCAGAAGAAAATTCACCCTGTTCTTTCCTTCTGACATCTTCATTTAGCAAACTGTCTTTAACCATATCTATAGTTAGAGTTTCTTCTAGTGTGGAGTTATAAATTGTCACCAACTACGTTTCTCAACTTTCTGGTAAAGAACTGAGAAGTAATAATCCTTGCATCTCATCATCTATATTCATTTTCATAGTAACCAACTTGTTTGCAAGACTCTGGGTAAACTATAGATCAATACCGTTAGGATTGTAAAGTTTACTATAAGAATTCTTCACATAAAATTCAGGTCAAAACTGATAACGTTTAACATCATCAAGCAAAAAAACTCAAAAATCTTATTTTCTCCCTCTCCTCTTTTCTCTGCGTCGCCACTCGCTGCACGCTGCGTTCTCCCTGCACTCTTTCGCTATCCTATTTTACCTTTTATATTTTTTTATTAATAATTTGGATAAGACCCAAATTGTCTAAGCCCAACCTAACAAAAACCATTAATGAAGATATTGCTTAACACGAAGGGCTATAGTTCACCCATCTAACTCGCTATTGAATCTGATGATATAATCTTATTCTACAGTTAAAAAAGTCGATCGTTAACAACATGAAATTTCTGTCTAAAGGATATGATCAAGACGGAAAGAAGACGAGAGTATCATGTCCAATCGATTTCTTATAAAGGAATAAAAAAAAGTTCAATATACGAGGGCCTTAAAGATAGAATATAAGATTGATTTATGTCTTAAATGTGATAACAATACTCTACAAGTTTAATTTTAGATTAGATAGATAAATTGAAAAAAAGATAGATTCATTTTAATATGTGGAGTGAAAGAGACTAATTTTAGTCGGTCGGGCTCTTTCCCGTGTTGAACCACACATCTCATGTCATCTCAATATTTGTGTAAGGTAGAACTAATCTTGTTACTGGATTGAGGTTGAATCGGAAATAGTTGCATCAATTTGAAGAAATGATTTGTGGCATTGGGTTGATTCGTGGGATGAGAAAGAGTTCCTTTCACTTAGTGTTGTGTACTTTAAGCTGTGGCCAACAAACAGTATCCAAACTCAAATGAGTGAAATTGTAATAATATATAATGATAATAATAATAATAATAATACTTAAAAGAAAAATATAGTAATCCAAAACGAACCAAACACCCGTTATCACTCACTTTGGAACATTTTCGTTTGTCATCATTATAAATGATATAAAATTTAATTCATTCGTTCGCGATAGGATACAAAATGATATAAAAATAATATAAATTAAAAAGAAAAAATAATATAAAATTTAATTCATCACGATGCGATGCGATGTGACACGATCACGACTCAAATCAAATCGGAACCAAGCTTGATATGATTTATTGGAGACCCAATCCAATGCATGATTTGCATGTTATCGATAGCGTGGCTTTATAAGCCTCTAACTTGCTTAGAATTATTAAACACCTCGTTAGCCATAAATTTTACTATACAATAAATATTCAAAATTGATCATTAGAAGATAATTATAATTATAATAATTATTATATATCGGTTAGCATAACATCACAATAGTGTGACAATGGGAACCAAAGAATTCGGATCTAATGCCTGCCTGCTTGTATTCCTTCCGTCCCTTCCTTGCTTGCCTCGACACGATATTTCTTCTCTATTTATCCCCATCGGGCGGCGGAAACCAAACCAAACCAAAAATCTCAGCTTTTCGCCTTTTTCACTCACCAATCCTTACACTGGAAACCCAATCTTTCAGCCAAGGACGACATCCCTAACCCTATCTCGGCGCCCAAGGATTGCTAATTTGATCTCAGGCCCTCTCTCTTGGTAATCTCCTCCTCCTCCTCCTCGTTCGTGACCGGTCCGTTCCGCTGCTGCTTTTCGGCATTCCGTCTCGTCTTAATTACTCTCCTTTTTAACCATCTCTCGACCAATTACATGCCCTCTTCTTTATGCTCGTGATTTGTTTCGATCATTCATTCTGCTGATTTGCAGTCTTCGATTACACGCTCTATGTTTTGTTTCATTAAGTTTTATCCTTCATGAATTGCGTGCTCCCCCATTCCTTTTCGAATAAAATTCATCTTTTTGGGCACTTCCTCATCGATCAGTGTGGTATCGTCGGAAACAGAATCAACAAGTTTATACATCTTTTTTGCAATGAAACTTGCTAAGAATCTCTTTGATGATAAACAACAACTTGATTACTGTTTCTCACAGGAAAATGGATAGGCTCGATGGCCCTGCACGCCTCATGATTGTTTCGGATCTTGATCATACCATGGTTTGGTCTATACTTGAGAACAAAAGCAAAGAGATCATGGACATGCTTCTGCTGTTGAAGTTGAATAAGTTTCTGTTTGCAGGTTGATCATCATGACCCGGAGAACACATCGTTGCTTAGGTTCAACGCCTTGTGGGAATCCCTTTACCGCCACGATTCGCTTCTGGTCTTCTCAACCGGGAGATCACCTACGCTTTACAAGCAGCTGAGGAATGAAAAACCAATGCTGACCCCTGATATAACAATCACATCAGTGGGTACAGAGATCACATATGGCGATTCGATGGTGCCTGACCAGGGTTGGGTGAATGTTCTAAATCAAAAATGGGATAGAAACGTTGTTCTTGAGGAAACAGCCAAACTTCCCCAGTTAAAGTTCCAGGTAATGTTTGCAGCTCTCGGTTGTGATGTTCTTATCTGCACCGCCAGGGATGATGATGCAATCTGGAAGGATCATTTGACATTTATGTAAAATGCAGTCCGAGACTGAGCAGCGACCACACAAGGTTAGCTTTTATGTAGAGAAGGGGCATGCTCAAGACGTGATAAGTTCTCTTTCAGATCGTTTTGAGAAACGTGGGGTAAGATTAAGCAGTGTTGGGGAAACCAATTCTGATATTTGAAGTGATTTTGTTTTAAATACTGTGTTTATGTGTCTATCTCATCCTCTTTCTCTTCCTATTCTACGTTTCCATTCAGCTCCATGTAAAAATAATCTACAGTGGTGGTATTGATCTTGACATATTGCCACAAGGTGCTGGCAAAGGTCAAGCTCTTGCTTATTTGCTCAAAAAGTTCAAAGAAGGTGGCAAACCACCAATTAATACTCTTGTTTGTGGTGACTCTGGAAATGATGCCGAACTGTTTAGCATTCCAGATGTTTACGGTGTCATGGTAAGCCTTTAATAAGTGTACTGTATTGATTGCAGCGGTTGATTTCTTCAAACGACTTGATATATGCCCCTCAAATTTCAGGTCAGCAATGCCCAGGAGGAACTACTGCAATGGCATGCTGAACATGCAAAAGAAAACTCTAAGATAATTCATGCAAGCAACAGGTGTGCTGCAGGTATTATTGAAGCTATTGGCCATTTTGGGCTCGGTCCTAATACCTCTCCGAGAGATAGTTCAGACATATTGGTTTCCAAACTAGACAACAGTAACCCATCACATGAAGTAGTTAAATTTTACATTACATATGAAAGGTGGCGCCGGGCCGAAGCTGAAAAATCAGACTTGCTTATCCAAAGTTTGAAACACATATGTGTAAGCGTGAGACTTCCATATTTATCAAGATTTTTTAAATATTTTCATTTTACCTGCACTTTAATTCTTGTCAAGTCTTTTGTTTTGTGTGCTTTTGAGTAGTCTTTATCCTGATTAAGATTTTTTTTTTATAATAACTTATCTTTATTGTGGACTTACACGAATCTCAAATATCACAAGTGTATTGGCTGTAACTCTGCAAATGAATACTAAATTTATAGATTTCAAGGATTCAAATATGGAATGTAATACTAATTTTTATCCAGGAACTAAAGATATGAGCTTCTCTGATATATATCTGGACATATGTTGGTCTCTCATTAACTAATCACTTAATTTTGATGTGATAGCACCCGACCGGGATTGCTGTTCATCCTTCTGGAGTCGAACATTCTCTTCATGAATGCATAGATACTTTTGGGCCACATTATGGTGATAAGCAAGGTAAACAATTCCGAGTGTGGTTGGACAGAGTTTTCACCTCACAGATTGGTTCAACTTCATGGCTGGTGAAGTTTGATAAGTGGGAACTGACTGGTGAGTCTTTAGACGATTAACTAGTGATAGCCAGTTCTAATTTTTATTCTTTCTAGTGCTTGCCTTTTCTACCTTCTCCAACTTTGTTATTATGCATAACTATTTACTTTTTTCCTCTATTCTCAATATTTTTTGTTTGAACTAGAAAGTTCTTTTGTTCCCTTTTCCTGCCTTTTTCTAAGCTCACTTGCGTCCCCTAACTTTGTGGTCAATGGTTTCACACCCTATCAGGAGCTATTTTTTGAATAAGCTTATGAGATGATGTTTGATTAGCTCTAATTCCGATAACCTCTTCACAGAACTAGATGCTTCTTTAAGAAAACATGTCTCTTGTTATAAGGATCTCACTTTCTAGTTATTAGTGTAAATATGATGACCTTGAGACGTTAATACTTGATGATGTGAAAGGATCATGCCTTCTTGAGCCATATCACATGTGGATAATACTTGATGATATCATAAAAAAGTGAGTTTGACTTTAAAGATAAGGTTAACATTTATTGTGAAGGCTCCTTAAAGAACTAAAGACTATGAAAATCATTTCCTGTTATCAATGGCATAAACATGAAACTAGGACTACAAAATTAACACAAAGACTACTGGAATTAATTTGTTTGTTAGCTTTTGGTCATATTATAATTTGGATGAATGTCGACTCCAAAATGGTCCGTTTGCCTTGTTATGAAAAACTGTAAGTTAGGTGGATTTACTCTTTGTTTAATTACGCTACAGAGGAATACATATGGTGGAGAATCCTGAATTATGTTTTTCACAGTAGGAGTATACCTTTGTTGTCAATATTGTGATTTGATTTTGGCATCAATGACTGTACCTTTGCTGTCCATGTTGAAACTTGGCTCAATGTACAAGATCTTGATGGAAAAAGTTAAACCTCTGTTTGATTGGGTTAGATTGAAATGGTGGCTGATAGGTCATAGAAAGAAGATATTGGAGCTTATAAAGTAAGTGTGAGGCTATGAAACAAAATAGTTCTCTACTAAAAGAGGTTTGTTATTATGCCGATCTGCTGCCATCATGTGCTCATCTCACAATTGTTCAGACCTTGTTAAAACACACTGTTGCCGATGATTTTTTAAAATTTAAGATATAATGAGGTGGGCTCTTTTTTTGGGTTCAGCTGACACTGCAATTTTCCATGGATTTGGAACCATCAAGTATTTGGTTTTGTGTTTTTTTCCTTTTACTAGAAATGCTTCATTGTTTCTTGTCCTTACATGGGCATCTTTCTGTAGATGATGGGCGACATTGTTCTCTAACTACAATTCTACTGAACTCTGAGGTAAATAGATAGCAACGCTGTGTTCTTACTTCAATGTATTTTTAAATTCATCTGCACCTTTGACTCTTGTCATTTATCAGCCGGGGAATCCAGGTGCTTTCAGCTTGTTGCATGTCCATCAGACATGGCTTGAAGGGTTTGCAGCAAGGTGTCAAAATGATTGGATCTTCTAACTGATGCATCTTCCCAGAATCAATTTGCAGAGTTTCATCTTTGCCTAATATAGAGAATAAATTGGGTCCATAGTGATACTCAATTGACAGAATTTTTATGTTTTTTTTATTTCCAGTTTTCTGCATTAAGATTGTCTTTGAAGCGGAGACTTGGACTGCGAACATTATGATCAGTTCTTCAGTCGTAAAACTGTTATTGCCGGCTTAAATTTCACGTGGAAGTCTGAATAATGACAAGCTGGCAACAATATATTCTTGGTTGTTTTACATCACGGTTTTCACCCAGACCTTATTGGTAAATTCAACGGGTGATATGAGATTTGACAATAGTTAGATTCCGACCTAAGATTGTGCATTAGCCTATGGACCATTAGTTATCGTAATATTGCATGTATGAGAACTGACTTCAGCTATGATGCCTTGTTACAGATCTTGCCAATAAAAAGGTGGGTTCGATGAAGTGTACATGGAAAGATGTGCTCATTCTGCTACTTGGTTGAACTTCTTATCCAGCTTTCCTAATTGGTCCAAGAATGAAAGATCTCCTTTTTTTCTTTTGATTGACTTTTCCCATATAACCAAATGACCTTTGTTGGAGGAGCAGCCCAATTAAACCTCATTTTACAATCATGGGTTAATTATCTTTGTAGTTAGTTATTTTTAGTATTTTGATTTTTATATTTTAAAAAATTATGTTGTCATCCTTATAGTTACGAAAGTAAAATATTTAAGTTCATTTATCTTAATGACATTAGTTTTATTAACTTAAATACGAAAATAAAAAGTAAAAAGATAATTTTAATATTTCAGTTATTAGTGGTTGACAACATCGGTGGTTGTGGATGGCAGTGTCGTTGAGGGCCATAGGTGATTATTATGGATGAAGAGAGTGGTGGTAAGAAGTGAGGGTTGCTCGACAATTACGTTGACGTTGACGTCGACACAGTTATTAAGTGACCCTTTCATCGCTCTACGTTTGCGTCGGCATCAATATAATTGCTGAACAACGAAAGGGTCATCAATGCTAATGTTGAGTAGTGTTGCTCGAAAATTATGTCGACAGTCCTTTCGTCGCTTGACAACTGCATCGATACTGATGCAGATGCAGAACGATTTTCATCTCTCGTCACCATTATTTGTATCCACAACAACCACCCACGACTCCTAACGATATTGTCGTCTACCACCACAAACGTCGTTCGCCACCACCGAATATATATATATATATATATATATATATATATATATATATATATATATA